TGCATTGTAACTCTGGCTAAACTAGTGCTGCATTGTAACTCTGGCTAAACAAGTGCTGCATTGTAACTCTGGCTAAACAGGTGCTGCATTGTAACTCTGGCTAAACTAGTGGTGCATTGTAACTCTGGCTAAACAAGTGCTGCATTGTAACTCTGGCTTAACTAGTGGTGCATTGTAACTCTGGCTAAACTCAACAGAGGCCAAACACAGGTTGTTTCTCAGTGAATGTCTTTGAGAAGTTTGGTCGACCTGCACAAAGGTACAAAAATGAAATGTATTACACTGAAATACAGTCTGGTAAGGCAGTCAATGTTATCAGAGTAGGTGAGATCAGACCTGCAGAACACCTGTTGTGATATTCACTGCAAAATGTTTGTCAGCATGCATCCACCTCACCCTTAGCTGTTCACCAACTTCTTTCCAACTCTTTTCTTTAAATGGTGTTTGTGTAATAATTAAAGATAATAATATAAGAACCAATTCTTTCCCTCCTGGTTAACCAGGCTTCTGAGTGTGGGAGAGGGTAAAGAAGGGTTCAAAACTGTCCTCTTTGCACCATAGTAACTCCATCTCACATACTTTGCAATCGTCACCCAGTTCCTGTAGAAATGCACCAAACTTTCCTAGAAATCCGTGTCTGAACTTGTCTATTCCTTCCTTGTTGATGATGTCATCAACATTGTCCAACATTACAATGCTTCCTACAAAAATTACAAGCTTTAACATTAAAACTGTCAAAATGAAAGAGAAAAGTTTGAAAGTATAGAGTTTCTGATCATACTTAGATCTTCCACAGAGTATTACAGCTCCCCAGTACCTACAGGAGCTTGTTACCCTGGATCAGCCGTCATGACCACTGCTATTAGAAAGTCAAATACCCTGGCCAAATTCAAGCAGGATACAAAGACCCACCTCTTATTTTCACGTCTGCATTTTAGGCTCTTTGCACAGACATCATATACATACCACCTTTTACTTAGTCATTTATATACACATTGAGATGATTATCTGCTTGCTTAATGTATAATGGTAATTGTTAGCCTTTTTTGCCTATCAAATATATATATAAATATAACTTTTATTCATGTCCATATGTTGTAAAGTGCTTTACAGTAACTTTATAAATTATATAGAGCGCTAGATAAATGTTGTTTATTATAATGATCAAAAGATCACCAGCATTAACCATTTTGCATCATTCATTCTTTAATATTGCTGATATGGTGAAACAATAGGTTTAGGGGTAGGGTTGGGAGGGTGGGAGGCTTAATATTATGTTTGTTCAAAGAACAATGAAAACAGTTTTTGGATAGATGAGATACATTTTGTATGTGTCTTTGGTATGAAAACAAAGGAAAATTAATCGTAAGCACAAAGGAATATTAATCGTAAGCACATAAAGAACAATTTTAGAAATAAAGTAAAAGCACCAACACACATGTGTGTCCACCTGATGTCTCAGACTGCAGTGGTTTGTTGTGTGAATGGATATATTTCACTCGGATCAAAGTTCTCGTGAACTTTATCCTTACAGGCAATACACTTTTACAATCTGAGAGTCACATAAATACACATGTGGCATACTGTCGATGTATTCCACCTCTGTCTCCATAATTATTAACTATTACAAAATACACAACTTTCTTCCTGTCACATGACCTCTACAGCTAAAAGATAAAATACCATAAATGGAGAGTGTCCATCATTTGAAGTGAGGCCTTATTGATCTACATACTTTATTCCCGAAAAGTTTTATGGAATAATAAATTTGTTAATTACAAAACAAGATGTTTTACGCACCTTACTGTAAGGTGCTAATGATAATCAAATCAACTTACTTCGTTTTATCCTGTTGTCCTCTAGCAGAAATTGTTTTATCTGTTCTAGAATTTCATCTTCAGATTCTGCAATCCATCCTGAACAGCCCAGTTTCACAAAAACTGCCCTCAGTAAATCTCTCAAGTAAAATACTTCCCTGTTATCAGTGAAAAAACTTTTAGTGATTTATTCCAATTTCAGATTTGATGTTAATATATCAACTACAGTGTTCTAAGTAAAATTAATTAAAACTATTGAGAAACATTTTAATTTAGCTTGCTCACGGATAAGTAAGGAACAACGAAATTATCATACAACTAATATGAATCCTCACTGAGACATCCCCTTGCAAATGATATCAATTATCATTGAGACATCCCCTTACAAATGATATCAATTCTAATTGAGACATCCCCTTACAAATGACATAAATCCTCCTTCAGACTTCCCCTTACAAACGATATAAATTCTCATTGAGACATCCCCTTACAAATGATATAAATTCTCATTGATCCATCCCCTTACAAATGATATAAATTCTAATTGAGGCATCTCCTTACAAATGATATAAATTCTCATTGAGACATCCCCTTACAAATGATATAAATTCTAATTGAGACATCCCCTTACAAATGACATAAATCCTCATTGAGACATCCCCTTACAAATGATATAAATTCTCATTGAGACATCCCCTTGCAAATGATATAAATTCTCATTGAGACATCCCCTTACAAATGATATAAATTCTCATTGATACATCTCCTTACAAATGATATCAATTCTAATTGAGGCATCCCCTTACAAATGATATAAATCCTCATTGAGACATCCCCTTACAAATGATATAAATTCTCATTGAGACATCCCCTTACAAATGATATAAATTCTCATTGAGACATCCCCTTACAAATGATATAAATTCTCATTGAGACATCCCTTTACAGATAATCTTAAGCCTTATTGAGACATTCCCTTACAAATGATATAAATTGTCATTAAGACATCCCTTTACAATTAATCTAAAGCCTTATTAAGACATTCCCTTACAAATGATATAAATTGTCATTGAGACATCCTTTTACAAATAATCTAAAGCCTTATTTAGACATTCCCTTACAAATGATATAATTTGTCATTGAGACGTCCCTTTAGTATTTACAAATATACATTCCAATGGTCCTTGTAATTATACAGGTTAACACCAACAAGAGTACATAACTTTGGTCCTTATATACAGGTTAACACCAACAAGCGTACATAACTTTGGTCCTTATATACAGGTTAACACCAATAAGAAAACATAACTTTGGTCCTCATATACAGGTTAACACCAATGAGAATACATTACTTTGGTCCTGATATACAGGTTAACACCAATGAAAGTACATTACTTTGGTCCTTATATACAGGTTAACACCAATGAGAATACATTACTTTGGTCCTTCTATACAGGTTAACACTAATGAAAGTACATTACTTTGGTCCTTATATACAGGTTAACACAGATAAGAATACATTACTTTGGTCCTTATATATAGGTTAACACAAATGAGAATACATTACTTTGGTCCTTCTATACAGGTTAACACCAATGAGTGTACATTCTTTGGTCCTTATATACAGGTTAACACAGATGAGAGTAGATTACTTTGGTCCTTCTATACAGGTTAACACCAATGAATGTACATTACTTTGGTCCTTATATACAGGTTAACACAGATGAGAGTACCTTAATAACTTTAATAAAAAGAAATACCTCAGGTCAACAATGATGATTTCCCACCGACGTTTCATGATTCTGCAAATTTGGTTTGCCAAAGTTGTCTTTCCTAATCCACCCATACCACAGATGCAAACACCTATCAATAAAAGTATGTCAGTTATAAACTAGCAATGTAAGGCACAGGTATACTAATATACCTACCCTCCATCCACATCAGCCATTCAGAAACCAAGATGAACATCTCGAATATTGAAACTAAGCAGTGAGCCTTTGAATATAAAGTATATCCCCATGTATAAACAATGTTAACATTGGTCCCATAAAAGTTCCAATTATTACTATTATTGTCTCAGAAAATCAAAGGTAATGGCAATATCTTGGATTACAAAAACTGAAATTTGTCCATTTGAGATACATAAAACTCAAGTTACAACCAACATAATCTCAGCCAATCAGAGGTCCTGGCAGCTATCTTGAATTACAAAATTAAAAGGTTTATCCATTTGTGTCACTTTTAGAAAGTTTCATTGTAATTGGTCACATTATGTTTTGTTTGTCTAGACAGGGCTTGAAATGACAAAGAGTAAAAAGCGCAATGAATTTTTTAAAAAGAAAAGTCAAAAATCGATATAGAATTGTCGCGTGAGCAACTACAGTAGCAACATGATGTGCTGATCATATGTATAAATTTTACTTAAAATTTGGTTATTAGTTGAGAAGTAGTTCAGACACATGGACAAGTTGATACCCATATTACTCCCATCCCTAAACTTCTTTGCAGGACTGGGGGTATAAAAACATGCAGAGAAAATAGATTAACAAATTCTGTTGAGAGAATTTAGGGACTGTCACAAAAAAACATTTCTGCAGTTACAAATGATATATCATAAAAGGTGGCATTGAATCAACCATTAAATCTAGTACTAAGTCCTATTTTAACATACCTGTGTCAGTACTATCAACCTCAAAACCATTAAAGTCCTATTTTAACATACCTGTGTAAGTTCTATCAACCTCAAAACCATTAAAGTCCTATTTTAACATACCTGTGTAATTTCTATCAACCTCAAAACCATTAAAGTCCTATTTTAATATACCTGTGTTAGTTCTATCAACCTCAAAACCATTAAAGTCCTATTTTAACATACCTGTGTAAGTTCTTTCAACCTCAAAAACCATTAAAGTCCTATTTTAACATACCTGTGTAAGTTCTATCAACCTCAAAACCATTAAAGTCCTATTTTAACATACCTTTGTAAGTTCTATCATCCTCAAAAATCTTCTTGATGTCGTTAATGTATTTCTCTCTTCCAACAAAATTTCTGTTACCCTCTTCATCCTCTATCTCAGCCCTTCTATATGCCTCCAGTTTTTCCTTGAACCGCCTGAGAACCCCAGCCACTGACAATGTCCCGAAGTCTGTGTGCATACCCAGCTGGTCCATCAATGCGATCAAGAAATCTAACATGTCCTCTGGTATCATGTTGTTCTCCAGCATTTCAAAGTATTCATTCCCATTTTGGGGTTGGTTTCCTCCAAGGATGTAGTTCTGGGAATATTGAAGTGTGCTATTGAAGACATCTGGGCTGGAGTCAAACTCTCCAATAAGAGCATGTCTTATAACGTCCCAGCTTTGAACATCAGTTGTCCGCCCGATGGCACCACCACCTTCCATCATGGCCATCCTGTCTACTGATCGCTATATATTTTCATCACCTAAACATATATAGACAACACCTAAAATAGGATAGTTTAACAGCTCCCCATATCATTACACCACCCGATATAAACACAGATCCCTATATCATTACACCACACTATATAAACATAGATTCCTATATCACTACACAACCCTTTATTAACACAGATCCCTATATCATTACACCACCCTATATAAACACAGATACCTATATCATTACACCACCCTATATACACACAGATACCTATATCGCTACACCACCCTATATAAACACAGCTCCCCATATCATAACCCCACCCTATATAAACACAGATCCCTATATCACTACATAATTCTATATAAACACAGATACCCATATCGCTACACCACCCTATAGAAACACAGATACCTATATCATTACACCCCCCTATATACACACAGATACCAATATCGCTACACCACCCTATAGAAACACAGATACCTATATCATAGCACCACCCTATATAAACACGGCTCCCCATATCATAACACTACCCTATATTAACACTGATACGTATATCATAACACCACCCTATAAAAACACAGCTCCCCATATCATAAAACCACCCTATATTAACACTGAGACCTATATCATAACACCACCTTATATTAACACTGATCCCTATATCCCTACACCACCCTATATAAACCCAGATACCTATATCATTACACCCCCCTATATAAACACATATACTTATATCATAACACCACCCTATATTAACACAGATACCTATATCATAGCACCACCCTATATAAACACGGCTCCCCATATCATAACACTACCCTATATAAACACAGATTCCTATATCATCACACCACCCTATATAAACACGGCTCCCCATATCATAACACTACCCTATATAAACACAGATACCTCTATCATAACACCACCCTATATTAACACTGATCCCTATATCATAACACCACCCTATATAAACACATATACCTATATCATAACACCACCCTATATAAACACAGATACCTATATCACTACACCACCCTATATAAACACAGATCCCTTTACCATTACACCACTATTATATAAACACAGATACATTATACTAACAAATGTATATACTTTAACCACCCCATATAAACATAGATGTCTCTATCTCTATATAAATTATTTTTGATATCATATGTCCATCTGATATTAATACAGATTTTTGTATCAAAATATAATATAAGCCTCATGTATACAAATTAATCAGTTTATATTAGAGTTCATTTTTAAATTCTCTGCTTTTCAAATCAGTTGTAGAGTACAAAATATAATCACACCAGATTCACACTGAGTATTGCAACAGGAATAGAAAATGCAAAGAATAAATCTATTCACTACTCCCTAATTTATACACTATGAGCAACCAAGGTTTGGAATCTATGGACAGGAGCATGATACTTTGTTTAAAAAGTTGTACCATGACTGGATTATCGAACGACCATTATAAGCCATCAGACTAGGATTCAAAACTGAAACCAAAATGTTGAACAATTGTACTGAACTATATGTATACCTGGCCCTACATATCATTAAGGATTATAAGCTGAAAACAGAAAGCAGTCAAAAGTTTGTTAAACAGTCAATATTCATATCATGTACATGTAGTTAGATAATTTAATACACGTATCTATAATAACAATGATTGGAACAAATCTGCTGATATTTAGCTTGACTTGGGTGATTGCCGGCGACTTGGCCTTTTTTGGTTAGTTATAAAATTAATTGCTCAAAGGTTGGTTTATATAGTAAAACAAGTTAGGAAAATATTAATGCATATAGTAAAATCAACAACACCCAATATCATTTCACTTCTATATACTTTTTAAGAGAAATAAGACTGATGTGTTTTGAGGAATTATTTTGCTTTGAAAGCTCTTGCTTCATTGGTAACAGTTTGAATTTACACTTCAACAGGTTGGGCACAACGGCGCATATGGGTAATAATCCTGCATTTGGGTAACATCTTTGTATGTTATGGTTGAATGCACTTCGAATCTACTTTCACTATCCTATATAAAAAAAATCAAAATTTTGTACTTCACTATCTTTATTTAAAATCGCTATTAATATGGTTATTATAAACAATTTTTGGTTGAACGTTTTTTCGTGTTTTGACATTTTCGTGATTTTAGATGTCCCGACTTTTCTAAGGCTTCAAAGGTCGTGAAATACTTTCAAAACCGAAAACTGTTCAACCAAAAGTTGTTTGTAATAACCAATAGATATGGCGATTTTCAATAACGTAAGTGAAGTACAAAATTTTGATTTTTTATATAGGAAAGTGAAAGTAAATTCGAAGTGCATTCAACCATAACATACAAAGATGTTACCCAAATGCAGGATTATTGCCCATATGCGCCTTTGTGCCCAACCTGTTCTGTCCCTTTGCGTAGTTGTAGATCTGCAGATTCTTGACTTGCTTAATCTTGTTTTATACTTGGTAGAACTGTCAGTTTTATCAATGCTACCAGAAGTATATAACATGTATTATACGTCTCTGATGCTACCAATCGGTATCATTTATGTACTGTAGTTTATTCAGCTGTGCACACGTGCATGTTACAACATGAAATGACTCTAATATCTACTTCTATGTTTATACTAATGTAATTGTGCAATTAGCAGAAAACATTTTAAAATAAACATCAATGACTTTGTTCTACTATACCGTATATAAAGTACTGGTACTTACAAGGTCTGCAGACATGGTGCTGGAGCGCTGGTGACATGCAGCGTCCGGATCGAAGATCAGTAATGTGGAGCCAATAAGGCCCTAGTCTGCCTATTGCGTCGTTTGGAATTGTCTATTAAAAAGTAAATTATAGGACAGAGTATAATCACGTGGCATCATCCATGCGCAAAATTGTTCGCTACAGTATGCATATGTCTATATATATATGTGGCCTTTTTAAATAATTGAGGTGCATTCGATACAGAATTCGAATGGGCCAATGATCAAGTATCTCAATCGTGGGTGACGCCCGTGACTCTGCATGTATATTGATCGTTACTGCGTTAAACAAAGTAATATTTTACTTCAGTGGGCCTAGCTAAAACTAGTCGTAAGGCATGTTTGGAGTAAAAACGCCAGAAGGTACGTATATATATATGAATAATAAATAAAGACGAACCCAGTAACATGTTGCTATAGACAACATATTTGATATTACGTCATGCTCTTAGAATCAGAGACGTAGAAACCTACCTTTAACATTAAAAGATATACACAAACACTGTATTATTTTAAACACTAATTGCATAAAAAACACATAAAACCAGGTCAGGTATATAAGTTACATACAGATCATATTAACCAGGAACATGTTATATATAAAAATAATAAACATATGGGTAATAGTCCATGGGGAATACAGTGAAACAAAAACACATATAGTTCTTTTAAACAACTGGAGCAAAAAAGGGTGTCATTCTTTCAACATAATCCAATAAAAAATACAATAAAGTACAATTGTGCACAAAAATATGTTAATTCAGTTGTCTAAATGTTTGTGAAAATGACAAATTGTATTACCTCCATTGCTGATAGGGTTCTGTAGAGCAGCTATAAATAGCACACAGAACAAATTATGCTCACCTGTCACATTTGCAATGGATGGTCCACTTGACTTCACACTGAAGTCAATGGAGAGCAAAGTCAGTGATATATTGATTATATATTGTATTGATTAATATATATATGCTTATTGCATTGACTGTATAAAAATGTATATCTATGTACTGTAAAGCGCTTTAGAGTGGCTTATGTTAGCTAGATAGGGCGCTATATCAAATGTTGTATATTTATTTATTTTATTTAATTATATGCTTCGAAATTTTTACAAAATGTTAGACATCAGAACTGATAAATGTTTGAGAGCAAATGTACTTCATTGTACATGTTATATATTGAATTTAGTTGAAAGAATGACACCCTTTTTTGCTCCATGTGTTTAAAAGAACTTAATGTGTTTTTATTTCACTTTATTTCCCATTTAAGTAATAAAATTGTTACTGCAAATGGGTGAACTGTTACCCAAATGCAGGATTATTACCCATATGTGTCGCTGTGTCCAACCTGTTAAATTATAGAGTACACAAATGTATATAACCGATGTTAAAATTAACCAACCTTGAGCAACTGGGACCAAGTAGCTCTATTAGTTAGACTGTCCGTCTAGTTTTTGGAATACACAGAATATTGTCTCTTGTCACAGGCAAGCATTTTTTATGGAACATCAGCAACTGGACACATTATAAAGGCCCTATGGTAGAATGTCCAGCGACTGCATGATGTTCTACAAACATTGAAGATGTGTGCATCTGCGGTCCAGTTTAAAAGCCGAAAAACTCACACACCTGTTCAACGTATAGACGTCCTAATACATGGAGGTCAATGGATCAGTGTACAAAATGTTTGTTTTGGCAAACTTTCTACTTTCACTTTCTTTCACAAACAATTAGTGTTCACAGTACTATATAATCTCCTTTGTAAAGCATGTCTTGTAAGCGTCATAGGCACTTCTTAAGACTACTCCTTTAGCTTGTGAGTCATTGTTTACCTTATAGAAATATAATATTTTGCTTAGATCAGCGTTTAAATTCAAATTCTTGGAGGTAGGCCTAGCTTATAGCCTTGAACTCGGCAGGGTGCGTTCGATCCAGTTAACACTGACAACTTGCTACAGTTCATGTCATCAAATCTATAAAAAGAGTCAAATTCTAAAAATGATTTGTTAAGATAATTTTTGAATATTTTTCTGCAAGAGGTGATCCATTCAGTATGATGAAACCTACATGCATATAGAGAATCTCACTTTCGTTTTAGAAAGACGATCGAATCGAATGTGTTTACGGCTGGTTCGTTACGGTCGTTGTTGTAACAATGGATTCGTGTGCATCAGGCATATTATGATCATATGCATTTGGTAACTCTGACTAAAGATAAAATTTCGTATCAATGAATAATATACCCATGTATAATAATTAAAGTTTTGATCCCTTTTGAAGCCATAACGACGTAAAGATGAAATATGATTCAAGTCGAAAGTGAAAGTAGAAATCTCCTTCATGTAACAGTAACATAGGGATCTATAGGGATCGATGTTTATATAGGGTGGTGTAATGATATAGGGAGCTGTGCTTATAGAGGCGTATAATGAGATAGGAATATAGGGATCTATGTTTATATAGGGTGGTGTAATGATATAGAGATCTGTGTTTATATAGGGTGGTGTAGTGATATAGAGATCTGTGTTTATATAGGGTGGTGTAGTGATATAGGGATCTGTGTTTATATAGGGTGGTGTAGTGATATAGGGATCAATGTTAATATAGGGTGGTGTAATGATGGAGGGATCTGTGTTTAAATAGGGTGGTGTAGTGATATAGGGATCTTTGTTTATATAGGGTGGTGTAGTGATATAGTGATCTTTGTTTATATAGGGTGGTGTAGTGATATAGTGATCTGTGTTTATATAGGGTGGTGTAGTGATATAGGGATCTGTGTTTATATAGGGTGGTGTAGTGATATAGGGATCTGTGTTTATATAGGGTGGTGTAGTGATATAGGGATCAATGTTAATATAGGGTGGTGTAATGATATAGGAATCTGTGTTAATATGTATCTGTGTTTATATAGGGTGGTGTAGTGATATAGGGATCTGTGTTCATATAGGGTGGTGTAATGATATAGAGATCTGTGTTTATATAGGGTGGTGTAGTGATATAGTGATCTGTGTTTATATAGGGTGGTGTAGTGATATAGGGATCTGTGTTTATATAGGGTGGTGTAGTGATATAGGGATCTGTGTTTATATAGGGTGGTGTAGTGATATAGGGATCTGTGTTTATATAGGGTGGTGTAGTGATATAGGGATCTGTGTTTATATAGGGTGGTGTAGTGATATAGGGATCTGTGTTTATATAGGGTGGTGTAGTGATATAGGGATCTGTGTTTATATAGGGTGGTGTAGTGATATAGGGATCTGTGTTTATATAGGGTGGTGTAGTGATATAGGGATCTGTGTTTATATAGGGTGGTGTAGTGATATAGGGATCTGTGTTTATATAGGGTGGTGTAGTGATATAGGGATCTGTGTTTATATAGGGTGGTGTAGTGATATAGGGATCTGTGTTTATATAGGGTGGTGTAGTGATATAGGGATCTGTGTTTATATAGGGTGGTGTAGTGATATAGGGATCTGTGTTTATATAGGGTGGTGTAGTGATATAGGGATCTGTGTTTATATAGGGTGGTGTAGTGATATAGGGATCTGTGTTTATATAGGGTGGTGTAGTGATATAGGGATCTGTGTTTATATAGGGTGGTGTAGTGATATAGGGATCTGTGTTTATATAGGGTGGTGTAGTGATATAGGGATCTGTGTTTATATAGGGTGGTGTAGTGATATAGGGATCTGTGTTTATATAGGGTGGTGTAGTGATATAGGGATCTGTGTTTATATAGGGTGGTGTAGTGATATAGGGATCTGTGTTTATATAGGGTGGTGTAGTGATATAGGGATCTGTGTTTATATAGGGTGGTGTAGTGATATAGGGATCTGTGTTTATATAGGGTGGTGTAGTGATATAGGGATCTGTGTTTATATAGGGTGGTGTAGTGATATAGGGATCTGTGTTTATATAGGGTGGTGTAGTGATATAGGGATCTGTGTTTATATAGGGTGGTGTAGTGATATAGGGATCTGTGTTTATATAGGGTGGTGTAGTGATATAGGGATCTGTGTTTATATAGGGTGGTGTAGTGATATAGGGATCTGTGTTTATATAGGGTGGTGTAGTGATATAGGGATCTGTGTTTATATAGGGTGGTGTAGTGATATAGGGATCTGTGTTTATATAGGGTGGTGTAGTGATATAGGGATCTGTGTTTATATAGGGTGGTGTAGTGATATAGGGATCTGTGTTTATATAGGGTGGTGTAGTGATATAGGGATCTGTGTTTATATAGGGTGGTGTAGTGATATAGGGATCTGTGTTTATATAGGGTGGTGTAGTGATATAGGGATCTGTGTTTATATAGGGTGGTGTAGTGATATAGGGATCTGTGTTTATATAGGGTGGTGTAGTGATATAGGGATCTGTGTTTATATAGGGTGGTGTAGTGATATAGGGATCTGTGTTTATATAGGGTGGTGTAGTGATATAGGGATCTGTGTTTATATAGGGTGGTGTAGTGATATAGGGATCTGTGTTTATATAGGGTGGTGTAGTGATATAGGGATCTGTGTTTATATAGGGTGGTGTAGTGATATAGGGATCTGTGTTTATATAGGGTGGTGTAGTGATATAGGGATCTGTGTTTATATAGGGTGGTGTAGTGATATAGGGATCTGTGTTTATATAGGGTGGTGTAGTGATATAGGGATCTGTGTTTATATAGGGTGGTGTAGTGATATAGGGATCTGTGTTTATATAGGGTGGTGTAGTGATATAGGGATCTGTGTTTATATAGGGTGGTGTAGTGATATAGGGATCTGTGTTTATATAGGGTGGTGTAGTGATATAGGGATCTGTGTTTATATAGGGTGGTGTAGTGATATAGGGATCTGTGTTTATATAGGGTGGTGTAGTGATATAGGGATCTGTGTTTATATAGGGTGGTGTAGTGATATAGGGATCTGTGTTTATATAGGGTGGTGTAGTGATATAGGGATCTGTGTTTATATAGGGTGGTGTAATGATATAGGGATCTGTGTTTATATAGGGTGGTGTAGTGATATAGGGATCTGTGTTTATATAGGGTGGTGTAGTGATATAGGGATCTGTGTTTATATAGGGTGGTGTAGTGATATAGGGATCTGTGTTTATATAGGGTGGTGTAGTGATATAGGGATCTGTGTTTATATAGGGTGGTGTAGTGATATAGGGATCTGTGTTTATATAGGGTGGTGTAGTGATATAGGGATCTGTGTTTATATAGGGTGGTGTAGTGATATAGGGATCTGTGTTTATATAGGGTGGTGTAGTGATATAGGGATCTGTGTTTATATAGGGTGGTGTAGTGATATAGGGATCTGTGTTTATATAGGGTGGTGTAGTGATATAGGGATCTGTGTTTATATAGGGTGGTGTAGTGATATAGGGATCTGTGTTTATATAGGGTGGTGTAGTGATATAGGGATCTGTGTTTATATAGGGTGGTGTAGTGATATAGGGATCTGTGTTTATATAGGGTGGTGTAGTGATATAGGGATCTGTGTTTATATAGGGTGGTGTAGTGATATAGGGATCTGTGTTTATATAGGGTGGTGTAGTGATATAGGGATCTGTGTTTATATAGGGTGGTGTAGTGATATAGGGATCTGTGTTTATATAGGGTGGTGTAGTGATATAGGGATCTGTGTTTATATAGGGTGGTGTAGTGATATAGGGATCTGTGTTTATATAGGGTGGTGTAGTGATATAGGGATCTGTGTTTATATAGGGTGGTGTAGTGATATAGGGATCTGTGTTTATATAGGGTGGTGTAGTGATATAGGGATCTGTGTTTATATAGGGTGGTGTAGTGATATAGGGATCTGTGTTTATATAGGGTGGTGTAGTGATATAGGGATCTGTGTTTATATAGGGTGGTGTAGTGATATAGGGATCTGTGTTTATATAGGGTGGTGTAGTGATATAGGGATCTGTGTTTATATAGGGTGGTGTAGTGATATAGGGATCTGTGTTTATATAGGGTGGTGTAGTGATATAGGGATCTGTGTTTATATAGGGTGGTGTAGTGATATAGGGATCTGTGTTTATATAGGGTGGTGTAGTGATATAGGGATCTGTGTTTATATAGGGTGGTGTAGTGATATAGGGATCTGTGTTTATATAGGGTGGTGTAGTGATATAGGGATCTGTGTTTATATAGGGTGGTGTAGTGATATAGGGATCTGTGTTTATATAGGGTGGTGTAGTGATATAGGGATCTGTGTTTATATAGGGTGGTGTAGTGATATAGGGATCTGTGTTTATATAGGGTGGTGTAGTGATATAGGGATCTGTGTTTATATAGGGTGGTGTAGTGATATAGGGATCTGTGTTTATATAGGGTGGTGTAGTGATATAGGGATCTGTGTTTATATAGGGTGGTGTAGTGATATAGGGATCTGTGTTTATATAGGGTGGTGTAGTGATATAGGGATCTGTGTTTATATAGGGTGGTGTAGTGATATAGGGATCTGTGTTTATATAGGGTGGTGTAGTGATATAGGGATCTGTGTTTATATAGGGTGGTGTAGTGATATAGGGATCTGTGTTTATATAGGGTGGTGTAGTGATATAGGGATCTGTGTTTATATAGGGTGGTGTAGTGATATAGGGATCTGTGTTTATATAGGGTGGTGTAGTGATATAGGGATCTGTGTTTATATAGGGTGGTGTAGTGATATAGGGATCTGTGTTTATATAGGGTGGTGTAGTGATATAGGGATCTGTGTTTATATAGGGTGGTGTAGTGATATAGGGATCTGTGTTTATATAGGGTGGTGTAGTGATATAGGGATCTGTGTTTATATAGGGTGGTGTAATGATATAGGGATCTGTGTTTATATAGGGTGGTGTAATGATATAGGGAGCTGTGTTTATATAGGGTGGTGTAATGATATAGGGATCTGTG